CTCTCTTTATTAAATCTTCTGGCGCAGGTTTCCTCTGAGGAAATTCTCTTTTATTTACACACACACACACACACAAATTGTAACTAATTAATTTTAATGTAGGCTTCATGCCTAGCACAGAGCCCAATGCACAGCTTGAAATCACAACCCCAAGATCAAGACCTGAGCTGAGATCGAGTCAGCTGTTTAACCAATGGAGTCACTAGGTACCTGAAATTCTGCTGCTGTTGTTGTTTTTTAAAATCCTAGAATGTTTCATAGCGCTATCATTTTTGTGGGATAGTCCTACTTGATGTGGAATTCTTAGTTGAGTTTTTTTCCCTTTTAATATTCTGAACTGGCTATTTAACTACCTTGACTTCCACCATGATGATAAATCAGTCGTCAACCTATTGAATCCTTTGTTCTTGATCAGTCAGTCCCTTCTTTCTTGCCAATTTCAAGATTCTGTCTTTTTCTTTGGCTTTAAAAGTCTGATTATGATCTACTAGGTGTGGACCTCCTTGAGTTTATTCTGGTTAGTTTGTTAAGCTTCCTGTAGATTAATGTTTTTCATCAAATTTGGCAAGTTTTTGTACATCTTCCAATATTTTTTCTGCCTCTTTCTCTTTCTCCTTGCCTGTAAGGACTACCATTATGCATATATTAGCATATTTGATGTTTTACAGGTCTCTGAGGTTGTTCATTATTCATTCTTTTTTCTTTCAGTAATGGACCAGATAACATCAATTCACCTATCTTCAATTTTGCTTCTTGACTTTTTTTTTTAATGTTTTTATTTATTTCTGAGAGAGACAAAGAGAGAGAGAGAGACAGTGTGAGCAGGGAAGGGTCAGAGAGAGAGGGAGACACAGAATCTGAAACAGGCTCCAGGCTCTGAGCTAGCCATCAGTATACAGCCCGACGTGGGGCTCAAACCCACGAACTGTGAGATCATGACCTGAGCTGACCTGAGTTGAAGTCGGATGCTTAACCGACTGAGCTATCCAGGTGCCCCTTGACTCTTCTTATTTTTTTTTAATGTTTTATTTATTTGAGACAGAGACAGCATGAGCAGGGGAGGGTCAGAGAGAGAGCAGGAGACACAATCCGAAACAGGCTCCAGGCTCTGAGCTAGCTGTCAGCACAGAGCCCGACGTGAGGCTGGAACCCAGGAACTGTGAGATCATGGCCTGAGCCAAAGGTGGACGCTTAACCGACTGAGCCACCCAGGCGCCCCGACTCTTCTCTTTTTTGACTGTTCAAACTTGCTGAGCCTTCTAATGAGTTTTTTTCATTTATGGTACTTGTCAACTTAAACATTTCTGGTTTGTATCTTTTTATAACTTCAATCTCTTTAATGAAATTGTCTACTTGCTTTAGTTCTCTGAATAATAGTTAAAAAGTAGATTTAAAATCTGTCTGGTAAGTCCAACATCTTGGCTTCTTCACATACAGTTTCTGTTTTTTATTTTTTTCTCACGTATGAGCCATATTTTCTTTTCCAGGTCTTATCATTTTTTCAGTTTATTATTTTGAGAGAGAGAGAGCAAGCAGGGTAGGGGCAGAGAGAGAGAATCCCAAGCAGGCTCCACAATGTCAGTGCAGAGCCTGAAGCAGGGCTCAAACCCACAAACCTTGAGATCATGACCTGAGCCGAAATCAAAAGTTGGATGCTTAACCAACTAAGCTTCTCAGATAGTCTTTTCAAAAACTGGACATTTCAAATACTCTAATATGGTAACATGGGAAATCAGATTCTTCCCTTTGTCAGGGTTTGTTATTACTATCTCTTATAGTTGTTACTTTTTGTTTAGTACCTTTTCTGAAGAGGTTCTATAAAGTGCATTCTTTGTTGTATGTGGCTACTAAGTCTATTTGGTTAACTTAGGGGTTAGTTTATGGCTGGATAGAGATTTGCTTAACCACCTGGAACCATTAAGTCTCCTAGTCTTTGCTGAGTGTGTGACTGTGTATGTATGTTGGGACACACCTTCAGTAATCAGCCGGGTAGGTGACAATTCTTCCTGCTTGTGCAGAGCCTCAAGGTCAGTAGGCATTGAGAAATTAGTGACTTCTTAGGTCTTTCCTGGCCATGGGCACAGATGTACACAGCACTTGGCATATGTGTGGCCTTCTAGATTTCTAAGAGTATGTCAGAGCTTTTCAAAAACCACTATGAAGATCTCATTCCTTAACTTTTCTTTTAAGCTTTCTGGTTAGTTTAGTTTGCCCCAATGGTTATGCACCACCTCAGGCAGCCTCTGGGAAAAAGCCTTTAGGCTTTTTAGACTGGGCCTAAGTGCTAAGTCAGCAATGGCCCTGCAAGTGGGATCTTCCAGGAACCCACCCAACAGGACAAAGAGAATTCTCTGGGAATGAGGCTTTGAAGGAGCCCCCATTGCATTCTACTCCCTCCAGGGGCTGCCAGGCCACTGGTTTTCACTGTGATGGAGGCAGCTGGTCTTCATGTTATTACTGAGCCAAGGAGGGATCTGGGAACACGGAATGCCTCGAAGCTTACTGTTCTCACTGACATTCAGCTGTTCTGTTTTGTTTTTAATATTCACTCCCTGAAAATGCCATAAGTAGTTGTTTAATTTCCAGAGTCCTGCAAGTTGATTCTGATAAATTTTGCCAATTGTTTCAGAGGTCACCCATTTTGCTGATGCCACTCAGGTTTTCTTTTTTAAAAACGCAAATAAACAAGTTTATCAACTTATTTTGGGGAACTGTGTGTGAACAGCAGCTACAGCTACCATGAGAATATGACAAAAGAACAGTATTTCCTAAGAACATTTTAATCAAATGAACTCCACACTAAAGTCAGGCTAACAGGCTACTGGCATGCATACTGAGCATTTTGCATAGAAACTGGTAAAAAAAACTAAGTGATTAAAAAACTCAGTAACACTGCTTTAATATAGTAAAAGACATGTCCAAGGTCAGATGAGGACACAGGAAAGGGGACTAGCATCATGAGGAAGTGCTGGGGTGTCTCTGGGAGTACAATCCTGAAACCCAAGAAATCCTTTTTCCTTGCACTTATTATCTCTGAATTAAAACACAGTATAATAATTTCCTGCCCCCTGCTTATCTTCTGTAGTCCCAGATTCTACAAGTTCCATGAAAACAGGTACCCTGACTCTGTCCTGTTCACAACGTATCTCCAATGCAAAATTCAGTCTCTCACAGAGTGGAGTGTTAGAAATATCTGATGAGCGAGTGATGACGCGGACAGCCAGAATCAGAATCAAGCAGCCTCACACCAAGAAAAAGAAAGGAGTTTGTGACCTTGGCTGAGAAGCCTATGGGAAAAATACCTCATTACTCAGCTTTCTCCGACTTTGGCTTCTGGCAGAGTCTGAGGCAAAGCTGCTCACCTTGGCCCAGGCTCTCAGCACCTGGCCCAGAGATGGTCTGTCAGGTGAGTAAATGCCAAACAGCACAATGAGACATTCATGTTAAGAAATTGAGAAGGTATAATAGGCAATTGGTCCCAGAAAAGCTCCTATTTTTATGTGAATTTAGTGTGGCATTTTCTTACAGCACAATATTCAGGGGAAAAAAGTTTTAAGACCACATTTATCGGGTCCAGAACCCACATCCTCTCCGCGTGACTACACAGTCCCCGGCCCCTTGGATTTATTCCCTCCCTGCAGACAAACGTACAATTTTCAAAGAGCTCAACTAACATCCCAAGTGCGTATATGAATACCAAGCTAGGGAACAGTGTGAGGCCTCTTGGCAGTCAGTCAGTTCCTGGGGACACCACTCTCAACTCTCAGCCCACTAACTCTGAAAGGGTCCACAAACTGCACTACAAGGTGCCTTCCCCTATGACACAAACATATGAAATCTTATTCTGCCTTCATAATCAGAGGGATTGATACTTTAAAATAACAGTAACATGCATTTGAAACTCTTGTCAACACAAAATGAAGCACATCATCCCTGATGGGTCACATCCCGAAATGACCAGAGACTAGGCCAGCTGTAACAGAGGCAACCCTCCCCTGTCCCCGCACAGTAAGGGCCAGAACCCACACAAAAAGAGGCCGAATAAAGGACCAGAAGGCACCGTCCCAATTCCAGAGCTAGCACAGTCAAAACGCAAACTATCCCATTAGCATCCTCATTTGTAAAGCATAGTAAATTGCTTGTTAGTATCATCTCATTTCCATAATGTTACAAAAACAAACAGACCTGATCAAGCTTCCTCTGGCTTGTCTGTACAGAAAACAAGTCGGATCAGGGTTCTAATACCAGCTCAACTCCACCCCTGCTGTAGCTATGAGACCTTGAACAGAATACTTTCTCAGGGTCCAAGTTTCCTTCACATATAAAATGAAGATCTTAAACTCAATCTTTGTGAAATAAAATGTTTCAAATAAAGGAGGAAGTTAAAACACAGACAAGGCGTAGACAATGGTTACTTTTCATGATAGCCCTGTCAAGACCTGACAGCTAAGGTCTTCAAGAGGCAAGTTCAAACCAAAAACTATAAAAGAAAATGATTTTCAACTCTGTAACACACTCTCAGGTGAGAAGGGGTGGAATGTTTCCCCACTTGGTGAGATAAGCTCTAAATTGATTCACATTTTACTTTTCACAAGGCTTCTCTAAATCCTGCCTGCCTGCCTCCCAAAGTCCACTACCCCATTACATGGAATGTCAATGAACAATGGACCCTGAGCAACTGAGGTGTGAACTCGGAAATTAAAAAATACTTTTTCGATATGCCAGTGATCTGAAAAAGAGCCAGCCTGTACAGAAGCCACTGCCAACAAACCACCACCTAGTTTTCCAAGAACATCAGTTTAACTTAGTCTCTCAGTTACTCTGGGGAGTAAATAAGGCAAGCACTTTTATTTTCATCTAATTCCTGAGGACACGAGGGTTCAGAAAGGCTACCTGACTTGCCAAAAGTCATAGTGGCAACCCTCGTCAGCGCTAAGGGCATGACCAACATTCATAATCCCCAATCTGGCACTAATCCCGAGATTTACACATATTTTTACCTGGTACGGTCAGTCCTCTGAGACCCTCCGGTTCTTGACCTGCGTGAAGCAGACCCCCTCGTCCTCCTGGCTCTCATTGGCCCCACACTGTTGTCTGCAGGGGGCCTAAGGAATTCCAGCATGCCGTGAAGTCTCTGCAGCCCACTGATGAAGCTGTTCATCGAATCCAACGACGATGCTTGGACGGGGCGGTTAGCACCAGATCCCTGCCCATGCTCCTCTGACGCTCCTGGATTAATGTTCCCCACACGATCTTCTCCCAGGAGCCCCACTTCCTCTGTCAGGTCAATGGACACCTGCGGAGCAGGCTGGAGCAGGGGCGGTCCCTCTTGGCTGATGGCCATTTCATGAGGAGCGGGCTGGAGCACAGGCGGTCCCTCTTGACTGATGGCCATTTCATGAGGAGTGGGCTGGAGCAGGGGTGGTCCCAGGTGGCTGCTGGCCACATCAGCAGGAGGAATCTGTTCTGCAGCATGATGCTCTAACTGCAGCTGAAGACTATACTCCATTTCTTCATGAGCCATCACTGGGAAAGTAATTTTTATAAAAATTATCAGTAAGTAGAGAAAACATGCCAGGTAGCTGATATAATCACACCTAAGTTTTCTACATCTCCTATTTAAGATCATTTTTGGCAAAACTGAGAATCTTCAAGAGAAGTTTTGTTACTTTTTTTTATGTCAGGAAGTATTTGGTAATCATCAACTCTTTTCCTCCATAGCAAGTACTTATGTAACTAGCTTTCCGGCTTACCTTTTGAAAATGTGAAGGCATGTGATCAGAGTACTATCTTCTAAAACAAAAACACCAATGAAATAAGGGGACTGAACTACTGTATCTGAAAGTAATTTCCCAGACCTCCTGCAGTTCTTTGTCATGACCTGAATACAGATATTTACCAAAACAAACTCATATAATGCTACATTTGATTTTAGTAGGCAATATTCATCTTTCACAGCACCAAGTTACAAAGGATAAACAGAGAAAGGACATTTTTACGCTTGCAAACTTAACTCAATACAACTCAAACTAGAAATTTACCTGAGCTCTCCAAAAAGGCTGAGCAACCTTTATTTGCTCCATCCTTGTCATTATTTTTGTTTCTCCTCTCTAATGCCATTTGTTAGCCCATTTAACAAATATTTACTAAGTGCCTGTCATGTCCTTTTCATTATATGTTTGTCTCTAATTCCATTATGTTAATCCATTCAAGAAATATTTATTAAGCACCTGTTAAGTAGTCAGATACCCCACAGAGGTGATGATAGGATAAAACTATGTAAGGATAAAACTGTGTAACACAGTATATTCTAGAAAATGTGAAAATAAATAAGTGAAGAAATTATACATTGTGATATTTGGTTTTGGGAATAGGTGTCACAGAGTACCATTTTAGGCACTCTATCAGAGTGAAAATTGAGCCCCGGCATGAAGGATTAAAGAAGCCAGCCATATAAAGAGCCAAGGAAGAGTTTCAGAAGGAAATCAGCGCACAAGTCCCTGATGAGTATCGGTTTGGTAAAACTGAGAAACCAGGCAGATGTCACGAGCACAGTAACGAAGAGAGGAAGTATGGGACAAGGCAGATCACTAATACTAAAGGCTTTAGTAAGGAGTTTCTTCTCTTTATTTTTTTTTTAATTTTTTAAAATGTTTTATTTATTTCTAGGAGAGAGAGAGAGAGACAGCGCGAGCAGGGGAGGGCCAGAGAGAGAGAGGGAGTCACAGACTGAAACAGTTCCAGGCTCTGAGCTGGCAGTCAGCACAGAGCCCGACGCGGGGCTAGAACCCACGAACCGCGAGATCATGACCTAAGCAAAAGTCGGACACTTAACTGACTAAGCCACCCAGGCGCCCCTCTTCTCTTTTTTATTTGAAAGAGAGAGAGAGAGCGCACTAGTGGAGAAGAGGGGCAGAGGAGAGAGAGAATCTCAAGCAGGTTCTACATCCAGTATGGAGCCCAACACGGGACTCGATCTCACGATCCTGGGATCATGACCTGAGCTGAAATCAAGAGTCACCGAGGCACTCCAAGAGTTTCTTCTAAGTTAGTAATGGACTGTAGGGGGAGCAAGATTGCAAGCAATCTAAGCAGTTTACAGACTACTTATTGGAATGCAAACAGGTGGTCCAGAAGCTTGGGCAAGAGTGGTAGCAGGGGAGATGGAAAGTAGTAAACAGCATAGACTTAAAATCATAGGTTAAGCTACCTAAGGAAAGAAATAGAAAAAAAGTGGGCCAAGGACTCAAAACCTAGACATTAACATTAAAAGGATAAGTTACAGGACAAAAGGTCAGAACAAAGACTATGAAGGAGGAGAAAACCTGAGAGAGCATGGTGTCTTGGGTGGGAAGTAGGTTCTTCCAACTCTTCTTCTCACCTTTTCCCCCCTGCACACAAATCCAGAACACAATACTCTGGTTTATATATGTCCTCTACCCAAAACAGGAAATTAGAGGACTGTTCTCTAGAGAAAACCTAAAAATACTGACAGTTGTTAATTCCCCAAGAAAATGGGCGAGGCTCTGTCCCTCTATCTAACAGTAAAAGCCTACTGCATGACAGCCTACTGATAGGGTACAGCCACTCATACAGAGCTTCCAAAAAGCCTCATGGGGAAGGGCGGGGGGCTCCCCTTAAAAAGGAACAAATAGACAAAGATCAATTGACATTTTGAGTAAAGCCTCCACCATGAGGGAGAGACCAGAGCAAAAACCAGAAGAGACTTGGAGGGAAGAAAGGAAATCAATGCAAGAAACCATAAAAAACAAACAAAAACCAAAAACACAAACAAAAAAACAAAAAACAACCCCTCAAACTTATAAGAAAAGAATGCCAGGGAAAGAAAAAAGGACAAATAGGAAAACAAGGAAGAGCTCTCAGAAATAAAAAATGGCAGATGACAGCCAAAATAAAATATTTAATACAAGGATCAGAAGATAAAGTTGAGGATCTCTTAAAGAAACTAGAATAAAAGACCGTCAAAAAAGACAATCATAAAATTAAAATGTGATGCCAGGATATTTGATTAACTGAAGTCTTGGAAAAAGAACTCAGAAAGCAGAGGAGAAAGTAAAACAAAATCTCTGGTCAAGATGGAAGCATAATAAGCTCTCTTCCTATTTAAGAACCCCGGCACAGTGCATTTTCTACAAAATTACACCAGACAGACAAGAGCAGGTTATAAAGGAAACCACTATAATGCCATCTTTAGGGCAATTAAAAACATGAAAAACCATGCTACTATCTGGACTTACGAATATACAATAGTGGTATAAAACAAGCCTGGGCATGAAAAATATCAAATTCAGGAGGAGAGTCAGAGGTACAAATGGGCTTCAACTCTTGAGCGCGCGCGCGCTCTCTCTATGTGTGTGTATATATATATAGGCATATATACATACATATATATATACCTTTTTCATTTCTTAAAAAAAAAAATGGGCGCAATTATAGCAAAAGGCTAGTTAGCCCTAGATGGTGTGTGCACAGGTTTTTGTTTTTTATTATTCTCTGTACCGGTATGATTAAATATTAGAAATAAAATTTCTTCCCATCTTGTGTCAGTTCTCATTAAAGAGAAACCAGTTTTGATTAGAAAAGTAAAGAAGACAACTGAATCCAACCGATTCATCACGGTATACTCCGTAGCAACAAGTAAACAGCCGGTGCTAACTACCTACTGAATTATCCACCACACACCTATCGGCAGTCTGGAGCAAAGCTTCCCAGTCAGCGCGGGGAAATACAGAGGCCCCAGCCCTTGGGCTACGGCAGGAGCGACGAGGGCCAAAAAAAAAAAAAAAAAAAAGCCACCCAAGCCTTCAGCAGCCTTGTCCTTGACCTCAGCGTGTCATACAAATGCCATTTTCTATGTGTGCCGTTAGAGTGGACGCTTAAAACGTTAACTTCCCACTTGTCCTCTTTCCAAGCTTTGTTACTCAGATAAAAGTCCGTAACAGGTAAGACGTTGGCCGCCAATTACAGGCCAACGTCCCTTCAAAGTCCCGCACTACCTGTGGCACCTCAGGGGTTTCTTAGCCTCTCTGTTCAACTTGTTCATTTCTAAAACGAGGAGTAAGTATTTACGTCACAGTGTCGCTGTGAGGTAAAGCTGGATAAAACCAAAGTACAGGTTCCTCCCTGAACTTGAAAGTAACGCAAGTCACGGGCGCGCCGAACGGGGAAGCACTTCTATTTGCACATGAAGAGCCGGAGGCTCGGCACTCCGTATGGAGAATGGCTGGCGGCGAACTCGTCTCCTGCCTTCCCTGCCCCCTCACCCCCACCACCGGCGCCTACCTGAGCAAGCCCGAAAGAACTTGGGTTCGGGCCCCTCAACCCTGACGGTTGCGGCCGCCAGGAGCTACCGAACCTTCACAGGCCACCGGGTTTTGCGCCCGCCCTCAGCTCCCCTCCTGGGGGCGTCTCCAGGCCCTACAGCCAGGGATCCAGCCCGGGAAGTTATCCTGGAGCCAGAGCCCCAAGGCCTGGGTGAAAGGCAAGCGCTCGCCTTACCTCAGGCCGGGAGGTACACCGTGGGGCTTGCAAAATCGCCGCTGCGGCGGCCGTTTCTTCGGAAGAAGTCACCCGCACCCGAGAGCGTAGCCACTTCCTGAGCAGCTCAAGCTGCCCGCCCGAGTTGCGAGCGCGGGCTGCTCCTATTGGGCAGCATTCCTAGATGGCAGCCAATACCGTCTCTTCTTCTTCCCTTCAGGCGCTGGCTGAAAAAGCGGCACTCTCATTGGCTGGTCCTTCGTAAACTGACTACGCAGGACTACGCGCGAGCGGGCCTTGTACAATTGGTAGAAATCTTCGTCCGTCACCTGGTGCCCAGCCCACAAAGAGAAGAACCCAACAAGGGTTTCCCCGCTCTTTGTTTGAACTTTCTGGCGGGACAAAGTTGTAGGAAGAGGATCTCTCGGATCTTTCCGGAGCTGGAGACATGAGACAGTCCCGTTCATATATATCCTTTCCTGAAGTTGAAGAGCTCATGAAAAAGAACTTGCCTATACCATCTCTTTAATCCCAAATTATTGCAATAAATTGCTTGCTATAGTAGCAAACTTTTGTAACTATGGTCACATTATTTGACGGCAAACATTTTTGAAGAATATTGCTTAAAATCGAAATCTCACTTATTAGGAGGAAGACCTAAAAATCTAACCCTCGGGCAGAGACTGCACATTGCCAAAATTTTATTCACTCAGCTGTCAGTTTTCAGTGGATTTGGTGGTAGAGGAGAACATAAATAATTGAAAGTCATGGATAGTCCAAATGTCTTCTCCTCTGAACCTGTTAACTAAAGTCAGTATTAGCATTTGTATTTTTTCTTGTTTTCCTGCCGCCTAAGAGAACTGCTACTGAGCTTTGTAGCATGGCTAATATGAGGAGAAAGAAACTTTCTTTTGTAAACAAACATGAATGAAATATACATCCTGCATGTTTAATGCAGCAAAACTAGAAGATGCAAAGAAGCAAAAAAGAAAAACTGTCTCTATCCAGAGAAGTCATTATTAACTTTGTTTAAAATCTTCATCTAACTAGGGGCGCCTGGGTGGCTTAGTCGGTTAAGCGTCCGACTTTCGCTTAGGTCATGATCTCACGGTTCGTGGGTTTGAGCCCCGCGTCAGGCTCTGTGCTGACTGCCAGCTCAGAACCTGGAGCCTATTTCGGAGTCTGTATCTCCCTCTCTCTCTGACCCTTCCCTGCTCACGCTCTCTCTCTCTTTCCTAGAAATAAATAAAAATATTTTAAAAAATCTTCATCTAACTAAATATATATATTTAGATATAAATGGGATAGTGTTTTAATATTAAAATATATTTTTTTAATTGCTTGCCATGTTAATAAATACATAGGCACATCATTGAATACTGGGTGATTCTTTGAAAATTTTTAAAATAAATTAATAGGTAACATCATGCGGTAAGAAAAAAAATTGGACAACACAAAGGGGTAAAAAATTTTGGACAACACAAAGACTGTAAAAAGTATACAGAATGTTTCTAAATGATTCTGATATTCATTCATGATGTGCCTGCTAGCCATATTTACTAGCTACAAGAGAAACAATAAAGACACAAGTCAAAAATTTATAGTCTTGGGCACCTGGGTGGCTCAGTTCGTTAAGCATCAAACTTCGGCTCAGGTCATGATCTCACTGTTTTTGAGATGGAGCTCTGCACAGAGGCTGCTTGGGATTGTCTCTCTCTCTCTCTCTCTCTCTCTCTCCCTGCCCCTTCCCTGCTTGTGCGCATGCTCCCTCTCTCTCAAAATAAATAAACTTAAAAAATAAAGTGCAGCAAATCCATAAAACTATAATATGCTGCAGAGCTTCAAAGCAAGTTGGGAAAAAGAACAATCTCCTTTACCAAATATTGACAACCAGAACAGTGTTGGCCTGCCATCCTTTTGCTAATTCCCATAGCAAAGAGATCATAGACTTAAATGTAAATTCTAAAACTATGAAACTTCTGGAAGAGAGCAGGAGAAAATCTTCCTGACCTTGGGTTAGGTAATGATTTTTCAGATATGACCCCTCAAAACATGGTTCATAAGAGCAAAAACTGATAAATTGGATCACATCAAAATTTAAAACTCTGCTCTCCAAAAGACATTGTTTGGAAAATGAAACGATGAACTGCATACAGGTAGGGAAAAATTTGCAAATCATGTATCTGACAAAGGACTTATATCCACAACATATAAAGAACTCTGAAAACTCAATAATTGGCAAAACAAACCACCTCTCATTTAAAATGTGAGCACAAGGTTTGAACAGACACTGCACCAAAGAAGATATATAGACAACAAGTTCAATGAAAGGATCCTCAACATTACTAGTCATTAAGGAGATGTAAATTAAAGACTCAGTGACATACCACTCATTATATAATTATTAGAATTGCCAAAATTAAAAATCCCAGCCATATCAAATGTTGGCTAGGATATAGAGGAACTGAAGCTTACACTGCCAGTGGAATGGAAAATGGTTCATCCCTTTTGAAAAACAGTTTGACAGTTTCTTAAAAAGTTAAATGTGACCATATGATCACATATGCTCCAGCTATTTGTTTCTAGGTACTTACCCAACAGAAAAGAAAGCATATGTTCACATAAAGACTTGTATGTGAAAGTTCGTAGCAGCTTTATTTGTAATAGCCAAAAGCAATAAGCAACTCAAATTTATCAACAGGTGAATGGATAAATAAAGTGAAATCCACACAATGCAACTGTTTTCCACAGTCAGAAGGAATGAATTAGCAATACATGCAAGCACATGGATGAATCTCAAAATAATTATACTGAGTAAAAGAAAGCAAACTTTTACACACCATATGATTTCAGTTATATAAAACCTTAACATGGAAACTAATCTATAATGGCAGAAAGTAGGTCAGTGATTGCCTGGGGGAAAGAGAAGTAGTAGGCCTACAGTAGGCAGTAGTAGGCAGTGATAAAGGAGCATGAAGACACTTTGGGAGTTGATGAGTATATTCATTACGTTGTGTAGTGGTGTACATACACACACATCAAAACTTATCAAACTGCATTGGGGCACCTGGGTGGCTCAGTTGGTTAAGCCTCTTACTTTGGCTCAGATCATGATCTCTCAGTTCATGGGTTCCAGCCCTGCATTGGGCTCTGTGTCGACAGCTCAGAGCCTAGAGCCTGCTTTGGATTCTGTGTCTCCTCTCTCTGCTCCTCACTTGCTTGCACTCTGTCTCTCTAAAATAAGTAAACATTAAAAAAGTTTTAAGAACTTGGGGTGCCTGGGTGGCTTAGTCGGTTAAGCGTCCGACTTTCACTTAGGTCATGATCTTGCGGTTCGTGGGTTCGAGCCCCGCGTCGGGCTCTGTGCTGACTGCCAGCTCAGAGCCTGGAGCCTGTTTCAGTCTGTGACTCCCTCTCTCTCTAACCCTCCCCTGCTCAGGCTGTCTCTCTCTCTCTCTCCTAGAAATAAATAAAAACATTAAAAAAAAATTTAAAAAAAAAGTTTTAAGAACTTATCAAATTGCACACTTTTAAGTATTGTAGTTTATTGTATGACAATTATACCTCAAAAATGCTGCTAAAAGTCAAGATCGTGGGGGCAGGAGTGGATTGTATGGGCATAATGGAACTTTCTGGCATGCTGATAATGTTTATTATCTTGATGAGGTTTGAGTTACTCGTGTGTATACATTTGTGAAAACTCATCACATGGTATGTTTAAGATTTGTGCATTTCACAGCATGGAAAATTTACCAGCTCTCCCCCACCTCAAAAAAAAAAAAAAAACATAAACAAACATTGAACTCCAGTTCATGATAGTTTAGAAACAAAGTGTGCCTGATATTTTCTTTTAAATGCATTAAAAAATAAGAATGATTAATGGATATAAAGAGGCATGGCTATATGGGTATGTGATAAATATAGTACATTGTTAGTTGTAGAATTAGGTGATGAGTACACAGGTTGTTCGGAGTATAACTCCACTGACTTACTGTTGTACTGAAAATTTCCACAAATAGAGGAGGGCACTTGTTGGGATGAGCACTGGGTGTTATATGTAAACCAACTTGACAATAAACTATTTAAGGAAGAAAAAAATTAAATTAAAAAATTAAAGTAAAAAGAAAATTTCCATAAATAGTGTTGGGGAAAAAATTAGGAACAAGGCCTTAGAGGATATCCTGTGCAAGAGAGGGACCCGGAAGATTAAGAGTTATTAGTTTCACAGTGAGTCCACTTCTGCCTGTGGGGCTGCCAGAGTGTAAACAAAAAATCTACCAAAGAAACGTTTCGTTGTATCTCCCACAGCAAAGACAACAAAGGATTTTAAAGATGAAAATAGTAGTACCTAATAAACTTTAGAAAAGAATAGTTTTAAATGATCAAACTGTCTACGTTTATTTTTCTCCGTTTTTTTATTTATAGAAAAAATGTTCTAGGTTTTTAAAGAAACAAGAGTAAGTAAAAAGTGAAAAAAATAGAAATCAGCTGTAAGTTTATTTCTCAGAGATGATTATTAGACTCTAAGTTACAAATGTATTTTGTCTATTGTTTCTTCAGTGATTTGAACAATGCCCAGTGCATTTGCTGTTGAATGACTTGGGATGAGCTCTGGGGGAGAAAAAAAGCAATACGTAGAGGTAAGTGTTAGTGTGTCCTAGGTAAAGCATACACCATGAGCAGAAGTGTAAGAGTTCAGAACAAATGGGCCACATGCAGGAGACACAGGTCTGAGTCTGTCAAGGTTTAAAATCTGAGAGCTCCCAGGCTCACATATTGTGTTTGTCCTCTACAGCACTAATTTTTAATAGATGCCAGCCTTTAAAAAGATGATAACTTTACAGAAAAATATGAATTTTCAGCACTTTTTTTTTTTTTTGGCAAAATGGAAAACTCTGGAAACACTGGAATCCCATTCCTATGTGATAAAAATAGGCTGGAACAGAGTAGAGGCTATCCTTCTTCACAAAGTTCATCTGTTTGCTGAAGTCCCCTCCAGTCTCAACTTATGCATTTAGACTCCCCTCCTAGACCCTTTGGGGAACCAGAGTTTGCAGTCTCTGGCAGGAGAGCTCTGGGACCTGATACTGGAAGTCAGGCTTGGGTCAGAGATGCAAGGCCAT